ATCTGTATAGAATGGATAGCTCACAGTGTACACCAGAGTAAATTCTAGGTAGATTCAAGCATTCAGTATGAAAAGAACTTTCAAATTTTTGGAAGGAAATACAAAAGAATAATTTGATGATTTGAAGATATGGCATGTTATCTCACAAAATTCACAAAGCGCAAAATCCCCATGTTAAAATCATTCATTCTCTGCTGTTCCATGTGACCTGTGAGGCTCTGGGGGGTGGTGCGTCAATGCATTCGGGTTCTCTGGCTTTTAGCTGGGCCTATCAGATGTGAGTCACAAGAAGTGTAAGGACAGAAAGAAACAGGGTGCCCTTTCCAGCCCAGTCCGCTGCAGTGTTGTCTCTACTCTGCCACCCCTTTCTTTCCTGCTGGCCTCCCCAAATTACAGGAAAACTTTTTCTTTTTTATTTTTCATTTCTTCCCAGCTAGGGCTAGTTACTGTTGCTTACCTTGGGTACTCGCTGTCTCCTTGGCTGGCTTCTCAAAACCCTGGTATGTCTTTGCAAATGTCACTCTATTAAGCTTTCCACAGTTTTGTAACTTTGAGTATTTTGTATGTTCTCTTTCAAGACTTGAGATGATAAATTAAAAAGACAAAGAATAGTAAAAATTGATTTAAAACGTTTCCATAATGAAACAGCCACATGGTAATGAAGAAAAGGAAGTAGGAAGTGTGGAAGAAAAGAAAGCCGGAAGAGAGAGAGGGGGGAAGGAACTTCCCCTTTTGTCTCCCTTCTAACTCACTTCCAAGACCTAAGCAATTTTCCTCCACTATCCTCTTCCGCCACGTTATTCCTGCCTTGAATTTAGCTGACTAGAGACTGAAATCATGAACCAAAATAATCCTCTTGGCCTTTACTTTGTGGTGTTGGGTATTACGTCTCAGTAATGAGGAGAGTCTCTGAGACGGAGAAGAAGGAAGTAATAGCATGATGTCATAAACGGGAAGGTTTTGTCATACCTCTTTTGGTAAAGAATCATTGTCCAAAATACATAAGGAACTACATATCAGTTAAAAAATATGGGTGAGATATAAGCAGGAAATATAAATGAGAATAAAAATGGCAAAATCCAAATCAAAACAGCAACCACAACAGTATAAAACAGGAATTGCGAATGTTCAGTCCCTACAGAACTCTGGCTCTCATGGGGACAATGGACTGGGGCAAGGTGCCTGAAGCCATGGAGGTCAGCACTTGCCTGGAAGCTTGTCTGGGACGACAGTGATGATGGCTGGAGGACAGAAGAGGAGTCACTGAGTGAAGAGGCTGAAACCCAACTTGGGGAGGTGTTGGTGGTGCTGCCTTCACGGGAGCCTGGAACGGATAGAAGCGAGAGTGACAGGTCTTGTTCAACAGGGACAGGGGATAATGGACGTGTATAGGTCAGCAGTGAACCATTAGACTTTGTCGCTGATGGTCTCTATTTCATCAGAGGATGGGAAAGACAATGGTGCAGCTTCTGTGAGGGAGAGACACCCAAGTCCTAAGGATGAAGACTGGAGACACATGGCCAGGCTCACTCTGGGTTTCTTCTACCAACTTCCTGCATCACTTGTTCCAAACCAGCCTTGCTCCAAACCCCACCATGCCAAGTCATAAACTTCTCCCAAACGAAGCGAAGCAACTTATAATTTTCTTTTATGTTTATTTCTCCTAGCTAGTAATTTATCATTATACTTAAATTCCCAAATACTTCTATCGGTAACCATGGTTATTTAAAAGAATACATAAAATGTTTTAAAGTGTTGGGAGAAAGATAATGAATTAATTATATTTATTTTCATAATCGCAACATAAATCAATAAGCTGTCAAATAAAGTAAATGTACATTTTTAACAAAGAAATGTGGATCTTATCTTTCAGTATTTTTCTGTTCCGTACTTCTCTGGAAGTTATGACTACTGCTTAATAACTACAACCATAAAATTCATTCATTGGTTATCTGTATTATGTTATTGGAGTTCCAAATTCAGTATAACAAGTTATTAAGTGCTTCTTAGGTTCAAGGTTCTGGGTCTATGAGTGGGAAGAAAGAGTTGTATAAAATACCAGAAGCCTTCGGCGTAGAAATGTTGTATAATGCTTGTACATAAAAGAGCATTATTCCAAGTAATTTCAATCTCCAGTAGTCTATACTTTTTCTGCAGGCTTGGAGGGAGACATATGATCTCCAAATAGGTGTGTTTTCCCATCACAACTGACCTTCAGGTTTGCTTAAAGCAAGACGGCTGCTCCTACCGCCTCACCTTTGTTTAATGAGCGCCATTTCCCAAGCCAACTTTGGGTTAATGGACTGAGATGGAAGAAAATCAAACATATCTCCACGTTTTACACCAGATTGCCTTTCTGCCTTGTGGCTTTAATCACTCAATCCTACTCACATCTGCCATAATAACAATTATGGCTTTTCTACCGCTTTCTCACCCAGGAGGATATGTCAGGGTATACCAACATCTCTCAAAAGAAAGACAGGGCAAATCCTTAATCTTTTTCCAGCATTGAAGGTAATAATTTTCCTCCACAAACCCTCAAGGAGTACTTTTGACTCTTACAGCCACTGTTCTCACAGGTCTGTGGCTCCATTCTGATTTATGAGTTTTCTTCTATCCTTTCTCTGCTGAAACATGTTCTAATTATGTAGACAGATTGTTTAAAAGTCTCTTTCTTCCTATAAACAACTATTGTTTTGTTAGTAGAAAATTTTGCTTAACTGGTTTCCTCCTAAGTGAATCTTCTGTCTGCCCAGGAATTATGTCTGATCACTGTTTAACTGCAGGATGAAGAGAAGAGAAAGCTGGCTTCTTTTCCTAGATTCCCTTGAGGAATTCAGTCCTGGAATGCCTCAGATTGCAAACCTTGCTTGGGAAATGTTCTTTGTTGCTTATATCTGGAGAGCCCATAATATTTTAGCTTTGATTCCTCATAAGAGCAAAGTATCACCCATCAAATAAGAAATACGATAATATTTCAATAATTCTACTTTTTAAAAACTTTCCAACCGAAATCAAAACACTTGAAATCCTCAAAAGCTTTCCTTGTGAGAATGCTAACAGTTGCTCTTTCCTCAGGGAAATTAAAAAAGTGGATTTGAAAACCTGATTCAGGTGATGCTGACATGCATCGCTCTTTACTCCACCCCCTTTCACATACAAGGGAAATAATAAAGAAAATGAGTATTTCTATGACTCTTTTCTTGTTCTGCATAAAAACTTTTAGGTAAAATATTGGTTGGATACCTTTCCTAATCATGAAATGAGTCTAATTATTTTATACATTCTCTGGTAATTCTGACCTCTTCCATTACCAGGGTAGCCTAGCATTTGAGTCAACATTGTTTTTGGTTAATAACAGCTAACTGCTATCTTTCAACCAGCTTAATAATTTTCCATCCAGTTTTAAACTTTTAACTGGCACCCCACCAAGAATCAATATGGTTTCTCTCAAAGACTCTCCTTGAGGGTGTTGAGGTATATTTGGAATCAAAGAGACAATTTTAAGAAACAGCCCTGTGCATGATATCTTCACATGGAAGAAGCATTTATTCAGGTTTCCTAAGGAGGAGGTGAGGTCTGTGGCCAAGGAATAGAGCCAAGGACTTTGGCAAGTGCTGAGTCCAAAGTCACGACCTTGGACCCATTAGCTGGGCTGCTAACCAGGACTGCTCTGTGCAGGTAACTGCAGTCCATGGGGAGCCAAGATTCTTAACTTGGGTTTGGTGATGGGACATGAACTTATGGGGATTTCTTGGAAGCTTTTGTATGTATGTCTGTTTTTAAGGCAGTAGGGAATGGCATTCATGTTTTCTTCAGATTCTCAGTAGTGGGTGTGACAATAATAAAAGGCTCAGATTAGAATAAACCAGATTATTTGGAAAGAAAGTTGTTTCAGTATTTTTTAAAATAAAGTCATTTTTTATTAATTCAAGAATTTTCAAAGTGGGTGTGGTGGCGAACTCCTATAATCCCAGCACTTTGGAGGCTGAGGCAGAAGGGTCATTGCAAATTCCAGACTATCCTAGGCTACAAAGAGAGGTCAAGGCTAGCCTGAACTGCATAACGAGATTCTGTCTTAAATAGAAAGAAAAAAAAGAAGTGTCCATAATCAAAGATTTCAGTATTCTGTTAGAACTCTGACCATTTAATATATGTCTTGTATTCTTTTGAAAGATTTTAAATTTACCATTTAAATTGGAGGAAACTTACTTTTACATGAAAGGGAAATGTGATATGAGGCTCTCTTTTGAACTTATGTATAGTCAGTGCTGTGTAACTCTACATTCAGCCAATTTGGGGTTGAAATATTTAGGGAAAAGAATTGCATTTGTATGAAAATACACAATTTTTTTCCTTTTTGTGATTATTCCTGAAATAATACAGTATAATACCTATTTATATATATTTGCATTGCACTAGGTATGGTGTGATATTAAAAAAGAAATCTACAAGTGATTTAAGGTATACCCAGGATGTATATAGATCCTACATAAATACTGAGCCATTTTATATGAGATTATGTATCTACAGATTTTAACATCTGCTTTGGTCCTGGAAGCAACCACCTTTGCATATGGAAAAACCACAGTATTTTTGTGATGGAGTATTTTCCTACATTCTATGAATATGTTTTTCAAAATCCATTATTTTGCAATCCATTCTTCTGTCTTTGCCATCATGCTAAAATAAACCCAAACTTTACCTCTACAATAAAGAAGGCCTAAATCCGGCCAAAGTTTATCTAATTAAATCATAGGGTGTTACTTATTAGCTGTAGCATAGTGCATTCCTTAGATAACATAAAAGTTTGCGAAAGCAAATTGGCATTCTGCAGACATCTGCTGCAGTCCTTCCTGGTTTCCAGAGCATTACAATGCATGTAAGTCTTCAGTGTCGCTGATACGCTGCAAGGGTTTTTTGTTTTTGTTTTTATATTTGGCCATAATTGGGTATCAAGGCAATCAAATATGTATAATGTGGATGTTTTAAAATTCCAGGTTACTTTATAGAATGGATCCATAGAGAGCAAGAAAGAATTGAAGCTTTAAGGAAAAGCAATCCTGTGGCCTTCAGATTCAGTGATGAGAAATGCAGCCATCTGAAATGGTCATGAACCCCAGACAAGTCTTCCTGTCTCTGCTGATATTTGGAGTGGCAGGGCTGCTCCTCTTCATGTATCTGCAAGTCTGGATTGAAGAACAACATACAGGTAACACACGCGCTTTGTTTTGCTCTGTGTTAATTATGACAACAGTGGTCCTTTTTAATTAAATAAGCTGTAATGTTTATAGATGTGTAGTAAGTTGAAGTGTTTCCAATGTCAACAACTCAAAAAATGAGTCACAAAATAAAATTCCCTGAATCTGAAAGCAAAAAAGTTATATATATATATATATATATATATATATATATACATATACATATATATGTGTGTATGTATATATATATATATATATACATACACACATACTCCATATATATATGGAGGCCATTGGCTTGGTTGTTTCAACACCTGAAATTTTGGTTATGTCAGTGAGGAAAACATAGTAAAAAGCGAGTGATTTCTTAGTTGTCTACAGTTGTGATCTATTGTAAAGTTATTCTAGATATAAAACCCTTAAGAATCTACATTCAACTATAATTTTTTGATTTTGGGAGTAGTTAATTATAGACATTCTTTTGGAATTGAAGTGGGAAAATGTATGATGGAGAAATTAAACTGTTCGATCATGGGATGGAGCATTTCATAAGACTGCTCATCTTTTTGATATATAATCAATGATATGATCCATTTCGTTAAGCTTGTGTGTTGATATATTGCTACAGATTTATTTCACACTATGTTTTGTAGTTGTTAAGAGCACATGTTTTCCATTCCTAAGGCTCTTGAGAGTTCACATGACCTATTCCTTAGTTCTGTGACTGTGTATATTTCTTAACATTTGTAAGCCTCAGATTCCTCATCTGTAGAACAGGAATAATAATATTCACCACAGGGACTTATAGTCAAGATTAAAGGAGCCAATCAATGTTTGCAAATTGCTCAGTGAGGTTGCTGGCAAGCAGTCCTGTGCAGTGAATGTAACTTACTACCCTAAAAATAATGTAGAGCACCTGTAACCTTCCATTTTTTAAACTGTCACGACTAAGACTTGGCCAGTTTAGGAAGACAAAATTGTGCTCCAACTTGTGGCTTGACTGATTAAAGAGAAAGAGAAAAGCTCTGGTTAAAATAGTTTGGAGAATCTAAGTGGTATGGTGCCATGTTGATTAACATGGGTAGACAGTGGAAGAATAATGCAAGGTTTGAGTGCAGAGAGAAGGTTATTGTTTAATGTCTCTGTAAGGTGTTTCCAAGGTCAAGTATTCATCCTTTCAACAGTGTGTCTCTGGGACTATACAATCAGAGGTGCCAAGCACTGTTGTGAGTGTAAGGATATAATAGTGAGCCAGATTCATTCTTGACAGTAAGGAAAAAGTGATTCTGAGTTCAGGTCAGCAGATTGGTACAAAAGCACAATCTATTATGATAGAAAGAGATGGAACTTCCATCATGGACAAAATAAAGAGTTGAGATCTAGAGAAAGTGAGAGCCAGGACTGAGGCTAGTGATAGAATTGCTAGGAGGGGAGTAGGGTTAGATAGGGTGAACAGGCACCAAGGGAGGACCAGACCAGGAATCCAGTTCAGGATAAATCATAAGACTGATCCTGTGATTAAAGGGAGAATTCTAAATTCTAGTCGTTCAAATTCTAAAGAGCCTCCCTCTCACATCTACTGCTTAAATCTGCCAGTTGGTACTCTTCTTATTGGTGGGATCTTCCTTCCAAACAGAAAAATACTAAAATACGTGCTCTGTGACTGATTTGTTTCTGCAGTAGGACAGAGTTGAGACCCTGTTATCAGAACCTGGGATTTAGAAAGGAATGAAAACTTCTTCTGGAATCCTCTTGCTGTGTTCTAAGTATCCCCTCCAAAACTCATGGTGATATTTAATCCCCATTGTGAGGTATAAAGAGGGTAGAAATTTAAGTCTCTGGTACTTGCAGGTCAGATTTTGGAGTGAAGTAACTCAGGATAAATAAAGCCACAAGAGTGGGACCTTAATCCAAGAATCTGTGCTTTTGTAAGAAGAGGAAGAAAAAATTGGTTTAGGGTGCTCACACCTCATCATGTGATGCTCTGGCTGCCTCAGAACTGTGCAGAGAGCTCCATTGGCCAGAAGGACCTCATCAGATACAGCACCTGATCGTGAATTTTCTATTCTCTAGAACCATAGGTTAGATAAACCTTTATTCTTTATAAATATTTAGTCTGTGACACTCAGTTACAGCAACAGAAAACCAACTCAGTCATCACTTGTTTCTTTTTCTAAATAGAATTCCAATTACACTTCCTGTTTAATATTTTTCAATGATACTTTTTTTCATTTTAGCAAAACTAGTCCTTGGGGTCCATAGCACAGGATGGGCTATCGCTGCATCCTCCCCATCTTTTCCTCCACCAAACCAAGACCTTTGCTGATGCAGTGTTTGCAGTTTCAGAAGCTGGGAAACTTTCTCATTTGTTGGGGCTCAGATCAGATGTCACTTCCTTTTGCAAGTAAAAGTCTCTCTCTGTCTCTCTCTCTCTACCTATCTCTCTCCCTCTCAGAAACTATCACAATCACAGCTGCTTAATTACAGTTATTTGTTGACTCAGTTAGTGTTCCTGTCCTTCTCTCTTTTATGAGTTCCTCAAGGACAAGAGCGTACTCTAATTGACTTAGCCCAGCTTCCCCTTCCTATAGCATGGAACTTCATATGTGGTAGTTACATTTTATGAATGAATAGTTACATCTTATGAATGAATAAACAACGTTTGTTGGTTTTCTACTTTTCCACCCTTCTAGCCCAGTGTTGACATAGACCACATTTGAATATTGCTTTGGGAAAAAAAATTCAACATTCCCAAAGCATCCTCTCCACTCTACAACAACTTCGTTAGGAAGCACCAGGTATTAATTATATTAATTAATAGATTTTGCAACGTAAGCCTCTGCTTGCTTACCCTTTGACACTCCATAAAGTTACTTTTCTTCTATCACACAGCATTTTTACAGCAATGAAAACACAGAATTTTAACAGTTTCATGAAAGAAAATTTAAGTAAACCTCATCTGAGCTGAAGCACTTACTATATATTCTTTTTGTTTGATTCGTGCTATTTTTATATAACAGTTGTGTGAGAAATATGCATATTTATTAAAATTTCCTATCAAGTTGTGACGAGTTATGGATCCCAGCTAAATGTTTACACTATATCTTGTTCTGAGATTATTTAGAACCAAGTTTAGTCTCAGCCATTTCAAACTGATATAGCTCCCTAGAGGTTATCTTATGTTATAAAAATCTTTCTGAACCATCTCTCTGCATTTTTATTCAAGACAAATAATGTTTACTATTTATCAATAATGTTCTGTTTTTGTACTTTAAAGTCAGATATTTTTTCTTTCTTAACCATTTTCCTGATTTCCATCAGTTATTTCTGATACACAGTAAGTGAATACTGATACAGAAATTTAGGATTCAGCATTAGGGCCTAAGGTCAGTTATTTTTCTGAATTATCACGGGTAGTGTATGAAGGAGTTACGTAGCTGGAATCCAATCTGGGTCTGGAGCGCAGCTCAGTAGTAGAGCCGGTTCTTAGCATGCCCAGGATTCAATCCTCGCTGTCACCAATCCAGGTTCTGTAAGTAGTGCTTTGCTTGAGAGTTGTGTCTTTCCATTCAGTGGTGTGAACTCTCCAGAGGTCAGGCTTCTATTTAAATCCTGCATGGCGTTATCAACAGCACAGTAGCCAAGACTACTTTTTTTTTTCTTCTTTTCTTTTTCAAAAGCACAGCAAACATCTCTGGTCTCAGCTGTATTTTAACTCTGCTGTGTTTATAGCATAAATGCAAAAGATGATGGCTGCAAGCTTATGATTCCAGCCAAAAGAAAAGCAACTTATTGCTTTCTCTGAGATAATTGACTTTGGTTTTCACAACAAACTGATTTTTGTGCTTATGCTTTCTAAGGAGGCTTCATCTTGCTTTCTTTTTCAAACCAAGTATACTATTTCTTGATGCTAAACCATATTTTTTGGCATATGAAGTTTTACTTCTAGATAGGAGTGGTATAATTCTTTTCTCCTGAGTCTCGAATGAAACAGTATAGACTATTTCTCTAAAATTAGACTGTTCATTCTGATTGTGATGTTGCTGGACTGAAATTATATCTTCTTCCATGGTATCTTTCACTACCTGAACTAGAACAGAGCCACTTTTAGCATGAGAGAACTTTATGTTTGCTAACAGTCAAAGTCTGGGGTGATCAGAATCCTCTTTGTTTTCAAAAGTCATTCATTTGAATTACTTCCTTTTATTTTGCCATGTGTGGCAAATATTTTTTAATCAAATGAACACATGCTCCTGATATGTGCCTTTGGACACTAAAATACCCCCCATGCATCCTCCCTATGCACGATTGCCCCTGCACCCCCACATCAGGCCTCTTGTGTTAACTGTCTTCTTGGGGTAAGTTTTGATTGCTGGCATTTCTAACTCCTTCAGGCTACTCTGTGTAAATATCCCGTGTAAAGTAGATATCTCCTGAGTTTTCTGTTACCACATACTTTAAAAATTTTTTTAAATTGACATTATGATGCTCATTCTAATTTCTTAATTGTTTTTGAGTTACTCACCCATGATCTAACTCTCCCAGTTTCGGGGAAGCTCCCTGATGATAGGGCGCCCACACATCGATGTCCTCCTGGGAAACTGCACCAGTCCCTGCTTCCAGCAGCTGATTTCATTCCTCACTTTGTAGCATCCCTGAAGTCCAGTGCTTATTCTTATTCAGCCAGCTGTCAATAGCTTGATGGTCCCTGTGGGCTCTGTCATAACTCTCTACCCCAGATGTCCTAGTGTCCTGTCAGGCCCAGTGCAATTTCCCCTGCTTTCCCTCATGGGACAGAAGTGAAGGACTAATGGCTTTCAAGTTGCTTGAAAGTCTTCTGACACCAACTAATGCTGAACAGCTAAGCTTTGCAGCAGTGTCAATCGCTTTGTCAAATCAAATAACAAATAAAGATTCTCAAATGATTAGTTGAGTTTATTCAAGGATAGTATTGCAATGGGAATAAAAGTGCCATAGCACACTATGTGCATATTCAAAAAAATTAAAGCAA